GACCTCCCGGGGGGTTGTAATGTGAGCCGCTGGAGTGAGTGGCTACTCTACTTGCCTGTGGCGAGTAGATTTCAGCCAGTTGCCCCATTCACCGGTGCTGTGTGCATGCACAGTGCTGGTCTGGCGCATGCGCAGTGTGGGGCTGGCGAGTAGATCTTGCCGCGGTTTGTCGAGCCCTGCTTATAACCAAATAAGTTTGTTAGTCTTTAAGGTGCCACAGGACTCCACCTTGTTTTTGCTGAAACAGACTGACACAGCTACCCCTCTGAAACATGGCTACTCATTTCAGGACTCTGATTTGTCTCATGTCCCCCTCCCCCAAGTTTCGCCTAATTTAAAAACGACTTGCTTACAAAATCAGACATTAAAATATTTAAAAAGCGTCACAGCCACACTATTACTGAAAAATTGCTGACTTCCTCCTTTTTACCATATAAAATAAATCAACTGGCATATAAATATTGTACTTATATTTCAGTGTATGTAGTACATGGAGCAGAATAAATAAGTAATTGTATGATATTTTTATTTTATATTGACTTCACTAGTGCTTTTATGTAGCCTGTAAGCAAATATCTGGATGAATTGATGTACCCCCAGATGATCTCTGTGTACCCGCACAGGTACATATACCCCTGGCTAAAAACCACTGCTGTAGGCCCTACAAACATAATCATTCTACCATTACTCTCTGTTTTCTTCTCACACAGGATCCCTCCTCCTGTGTTGTGCTGAATGCATCTCCCCTTTAAAATGTCCTTTCCTGCAGTGCAATTTGGGAGCTGGAAAAGTTAGGCCAGAGCCCCAAAAACCCTAATGGTTTCCTTGTAGCCTTCAGACTGAACATAGTCACTTAACCCCCAGCTATGCAGTGAGCAAGCCTTGGACATTACTCTGATTCTCTTGGCTATTCCAATCTCTTATGGAGTGATAAAGGAAGTCTATTTTCCACCTATATGCAAACAGCAGGGGCCATGGATTAACATCATGCCCATGACCAGATGCCTGCCCCCTCTAGCAGTGTGGTACTCCCTAAATTGGTGTTAGCATGAGGTATGCACCCACTGATAGAGATGAAAGAGCTGTATCAGCTGAACTATTGTAACATGTTGTGTTCAGGGGCCTTGCTTTATGTCTTGGCTGTGAGTAACTCCAGAGCTGAAACCCAACATGGCTAGGAATTTTCAGACCTGGAATCCCAATGGGCTGTAACAGTAGTCACTGGAGTCACTGCAGTCAGGTGAAGGGTATATACCCTTTTGCAACCCTGCCCCATAACTCCCGCCTGTCACGTCTTTATTGCATGGTCTCTGCAGCACTTCCAAATTCTCCTGAAAGCAAGTGACATGGCAGAGAAATCTGTGAGGGTGAAGTTCCCTTCACTTTTACCTGGGAGGGACAAGCCTAAAATATTGGTGAGCTATGGTAGGGAGCATGAAGAGGGCTGCAAATTGCAACATGCAGCATAAGAACACAAGAACGGCCAGACTGGGTCAGACCAAGGATCCATCTAGCCCAAGGTCCTGTCTTCCAACAGTGCCAGTTGCCCCAAAGGGAATGAACAGGGAATCATCAGTGAGCCCCCCCTCCCCCCCAATGTCACCCATTCCCAGCTTCTGACAAACAGAGGCTAGGGACACCATTCCTGCCCGTCCTGGCTAATAAGCATTTATGGACCTATACTCCATGAATTTATCTTGTTCTTTTTTGAAGCCATTTAACATTTCATTCAAAAATTCTTGGAGCACAGTGATCCATGCAAGAAAGTCAGTTGGGAAAAGCATATTTTTCTCTAGTGCCAGATGAGACGGTTGATCCTTATGTTGCAGACCTGTGTATTAAAGCTAGGCCATGCAAATTTGAACAGTTAATAGCTATATACTAATTAGAGACAGAATTACTTGTGGCATAACTGATAAATAGGTCAAAGCAAGGTGTTTATGAGAAATGGATTTGACTTTGCAAAGGACTGGATATTTTCAAGGCTGGTGAAAACTGCTTCTCAAAGTGTTAAAAAGCAGTGAAAGAACTGAAGTGCAACTAATTAAAAATGCATAAAGACAGAACACAAAGGCAAGTAAACAGCAGATGCAGTGAATGCGGAAGCAATCACGAGATGACAGAAAGGTGTGCAGCCCAAGGGATGCGGTGTCATACACACAATAAAGGCAACCATTTTGCACAG